AATGTCCGTTAAATTCTTTAAAAATGGTTCATCCTCAGAAATACTCAAAGAAATGTACGTTAGAAATTGCCTTTTTTTTTTCTTTTTACCTAGTTCCTTCTCACTTATAAGCTTCCTATGCCTCAAGATTTGAGGGTGTGCCAACAGTAGGACAATGATTTGGAAAAGCACTATGAAATTATATTTCTTCTGAGGTGCATTACCTTTATCATTTATATCAGATACAGGCATAAGACGTCCAATGCATAAAGGACGATTTCCATAAGGATCTCGTACTGCATAAATAACATCTCTGTGCATTATAAGCAGGGAGTATGCTGTGGGTGCTTCCTTCATTAAGTTTTTAATCCTGAAATTAATTAAATAATTGAATGAATAACTTCAGTTATAAACACATGGAAGACAGAGCTCTTGTTACCAGAGCTATGAGCTTAGCCTAGTTTTACAATTACCTTGCTACCCAATCTGGGGTGCCATCTTGTTCCTGAGGAGGGGTATAGGCCAGTAACTGGGTAATCATTTCGCTGTCAGAACTTGTTGACAAACCAATACCGTGCCGCAGAAGCTATTTAGAATGGAGAAAAGTGTAATCATTAGAGGGAAAGCTCCACCTGACCCTTCTTTACCCAACAGCCCACCATTATACAAAGAAATCAGAAAATCCCGCATTCTACTATTGACATGTATATAGTAATGGAGAAGCACTGCTAGAGGCAATGGGAAGTCTCTGAAGGTTTTTAAGCAAGAAAAAAAAAAGTGTTCTAGGAAGCATAAAGAATAGCTTTTGAAAACTAAGTTTGAAGGAATGTAGACCTACAATAAAGGTGGGGGATAGTAGAGAAGGCACAAGACTTTGGAATTATGATGCTAACATTTTCAGCCCTTGACAATTCTGACCAAGAGGACACATTCTCTTAAGAGTGGCACACCACAGTGGGGACTCTCAAGCCAGGTTTGTTGGTGGTAGTGCTGATGGCTACCCACCCTCATTGATTATCGCTGATCGAGTAGAATAAAGGAATTAACCATATTGAACAACTAAATGTAGAAGATGTAATAAAAATTGGTTGAACACTCTCATAATGATTACGAGGTTCTGAGTAAGACTGACCAGGATGAGAACATCACCACTGACATGTACAGGCTGAGTTTAAACTCACACTACACAACATTTTCAGTAGGCAGCTAAATGTGTAGAAGTGAAATCCAGCATCTGGGTAAGGGGTTATGTCTACAAAGAATGAGCTAGGTAGTGTTCAGAATTGAACTTTTGGTGGTTATCTCTAAGTGGGTGAGCTTTTTTTAAATTAATTTTTACTTCATATTTATACTTTTCTGATTGTATGAATTAAAAAATTATTTTTTCACTTGGGGGCAAAAAAACATTTTATTATCATTATAATACTGGAGCCCAAGAAAAGGGCAGAAGAAAGCTCTGGGAAATAACTAAAGCTAGAATTGAAAATAAAAGGACAATGAGTGGTATGGAAGCATGGTTCCAGATATTTTCCACCCATCAAAATTCACCATAGTTTGACTTCTGTCACTAATTATCCCATGTAAAATGCCTGGTTCTAGAATGCTAAGGAGATAACTGTGTGTGTAGAACCATCCTGTTAATGAATACCATCTGAGGTTTTTATTTGCACTGTGACCAGATCAAGATTATTAGAATCCAATGGATGGAAGAAACTTGGTGTCAATAAATGAATGGCAAGAAAGGATAATTAAGCTATCAGGAATATAAATATACCAAGTAATTTTAAAAAAAGGAAGATGAAATGATGATGAATAAAGGTATAGGCACAAATTAACACAGAATGCTCCAAATAACATGCTGTGAACAAAAAGAACCTAAGTAAACTCTCTTTGCCCTTTCTCCAAGTGGTTTCCTGTAATTGTTTCCAAATCACTTTTTCTTATATTTGTTATCTTCAAGTTTATATTCTATTTTCTTCTTATGCTTCGAACATAAGGACAAAAGCTAAAGGGATAGGAAGAGTCCATAAACCCTAACTTCTCGTTTCTATAAGATTTTTTTTTTTTTATTTGAGACAGAGAGAATGAGAGAGAGAGCACATGAGAGGGGGGAGGGTCAGAGGCAGAAGCAGACTCCCTGCCGAGCAGGGAGCCCGATGCGGGACTCGATCCCGGAACTCCAGGATCATGACCTGAGCCGAAGGCAGTCGCTTAACCAACTGAGCCACCCAGGCGCCCCCCTAACTTCTCGTTTCTAACAACAACCATATATTAACTTTTCCAAATCTCTACCCTAAAGCAGTACATTAGAATCATCTTAGAAGCATATTAAAATGCTGACTGACCACCCTCCCACCCCAGACTCTGGGGTGGTATCTTAGAATCTGCAAGTATAACAAGTACTCCAGGTAATTCTAATACAGTTGTCCTCTGCAGTAAGTAACAGGTGGCAACAATTAGGAAATATCCTGCACCAAGATCCCCAATAACTTCATTTCATTCATTTATCCTAATCATGATAAAAAGCATTAAAAACACTTACCTTTTTCCTCAATTGAGCAGCATTTACCAATTCTCCATTATGTGCCACAGCTATTTTCCCATGAAGTGTTTCAACAACAAAGGGCTGACAATTTTCTAATTCACAGTTTCCTGTAGTGGCGTATCTTGTGTGTCCAATTCCAAGGTTTGAAATATATAATTTCTTCAAATTGTCTTGAGTAAAGACATGATTTACAAGACCCATTCCCTTGCAAAGTCAAAGTAAAAGCTCATCTTAGGAAAAAAACAGACTTGTGGCCCTAGTCAGTAAAGGCTTTTAAGTTTCTGCTCAGGCAATCCCAAATTAGACAATGCACTTCGCTTAACTCCTCTGTGCTCCAAATTCTAATCTTAAATAAGGACTAACCTAACTGTAAGAACCATAAAACATCTTTAGAAAAAAATCTGAGGTGAAATTCACGTAACATAAAATTAACCATTTTAAGGTAAACAATTCAACGGCATTTAATACATTCACAATGTTGAAGTGCTTGTTTTATGAGTCTTTTCATTAAAACATTGAAGAACAGATGTAATAAACAATAAAATTTGTCAAATATAATAAACTAAATCAATTGCATTTTAAAAATTCAAAGCATGTTAAAATATTTAAGTAAATGACCTGTTTCAATGAGTCAGTCTAACAAACTAACACGCGGAAAGAAATGCACCCTCATTTGACAAATGGAAACGGCTGATCAGAGAGTATGACTTCTATATGCAAATTATTTATTCAAATTTCCTTCCCCCACTAACATACGAGTTATCACCTGGCTGTTGTTATCTTTATTATCAACATTTCATTATGTTCAAATATACCTTGTGTGTTTTGAATGTTGGTACTGAATTCCCATCGCTGGTCACAATACCAGCACTCTCCTGACCCCTGTGAATATAAAAAGGCATTAACTGTTAAGTATAAATTTACCTCATTGATAAGCTTCTCTATGAAGCATACTTTCCTCAAGAGCGTCCAGGAACTGACAACACATTACATGCTATTGCCACTTGATTCATGATGATGTGACCAGCAAGCAGCAGATGATAGTGTCTGAGTTCCAACTAACACACCAGGCACTGTCCTAAGCATTTACATGAATGATCTAATTTATCAGGCTCTCACAGCAATCCTTTGAAATAGATACTATGATTATCATTCCCATTTTACAGATAAGGACACTAAAGAAACGGAGGTTAAGTAACTTGCCCAATGTTACACAGAGAGCAGTGGCAGAGCCAGGATGAGAACACAGTCTGACTAGAGAACTTGTGCTTCTCATCTCTGTCCTATGTGACCTCTAAATAAAGTTGAGTATGTAGATACAAATGGAAATCTCCAAATAAATTAGCAGGTAAAATGCCTAGTGGTGGGTAATAGAACCATGAACAAAATTCATTTATTTTTGAGGTTTTTGCTTTGCTTTTCTGCACTTTCCACTTTTTTCTCAACACGTATCTATCACTTTAGTTATCACCAAAAAAATAAATGCTGCTTCTAAAAATCCTAAGCTGATCAGGCACTTTGTATTTCATTTCCTGTGTTAGTATTTTTAAGGTGACGATATAGATAGTGAAGAAAGCCAAAAGCTAGGCCAGAGGTAGCATAACACACAATAAGACTTAAGAGAATCTGTACTACTGTGGAGTATCAAATGATAAAATAAAGGTTCTAAATGCTCCACAATTTTTAATAGTTCTGAACAAATGCTCTAAACATTAACAAATTTTTGTTCCAAAGAATATATATCACGGTAGAAATAAAAAGTAAATCTCTAATATATGTATGTATACATTAATAATTAATATATTGACTTATTTGGTAAAATGGATCTTTTTCTAAATTACATGCTGTAGTTGTTTAGGTATTTTAATAACAAGAAAAACTACAACATTAAGGATACCCACAAAGCAAAAATCTAAAAAAATTAAATTTGAAATTTTATTAAATCACCAGTACATTAAATAGACATGCATAATACTATACATCCTGTAAGACTGGGTCATTTGTGACATAGGATTTCTTTAGTGAAATGATGTGGTCTTTAATGTTAACCTATGCTAGAAGACTAAATGATTCGTATCAGAGGGGGGAAAATTAACGTTAGCCATAAATCTTAGGGCAGAAAAAACCTCTGCCAACCACTTATAAAATAATTTTTCTAAAATCAACAATCATTTAGTAAACCAGAATAAATTATGTAAGAAAAGAAATTAAAAAATGGTTTTCCTTCCCTTTCATCTCAAGGGTAATTTTCCCTTAAGGCTGAAATGAAAAACGTTAGGAATCATTTAGGTTCAGGCTTCTTTAATCACAAAGCCTGCTTATTTGGCAGTTTCTCAAGTTACTCCCCTCAGGCAGCTTGAACCAGTTAAACTAGATCTTTTCAGCTCTTTGGAGCTTATTGACAACCAGCCGTCTGGTTTCCTAGGAAACAAAACCTTGGCTAGAAATAGTGAATCATTTCCAGGTCACTTTCAACATGGAGAGTGGAGCAGGAAAGCACTGGACTGAAGAAGAGGTTAAAGCTTTGCTTAGTGTCTGGGCAGAAAAAAATATACGAGAACAACTTTATGGAACCCTGAGAAATAAAGGAATATTCATTTACATTGCTAAAAGGCTGCAAGCACTAGGAGTATACAGAGACTGGAAACAGTGCCGGGCAAAGTACAAAAATCTCAAATATGAATACAGAACAGTTAAATATGCTCATAACTCTGGAGACAGCTCTAAAACTATGAAGTTCTTCCATGATTTGGATGCAATCCTGCAGTATGAACCTGCCACACAATTAACAGAGGAAGATGCAAATGGCAGGTGCCTGGCAACGCTGAGCGAAAGTGCAGCTCCAGGGACCACTGAAGGTAAAAAGAAAAAGTAGCATTCTTTTGTTTTTACTAACAAACTATAAGAGTAGGGACTTCTGAGTCCGTATGATAAACATAGCCTGGAATATCATGGTTGAGAAAAACAACTGACCTGTTATGCTCTTTCGCACAAGGTAAAAATTTTAAAAAGATTAAATACCTCCACTTTTTAAATCCGTGAAATACTGAAAAAACACACTAAAATAACATTAACCGCTTAAAAAAAATAACATTAACCACTAATACCAACTCTCCTTAAGCATGCCAGATACGTTTTTTGGAAAATGGATTGGGTTTTGAAAATATTTTAGGTTTTAATTTTTTAAGAGTGGCAAAAGAAAAAAAATCTAATATATTGCTCCACTGTTGTTTCTCCACAGCTCCAAACAAGACAGAACTTTCTGCTCTGTATTTACATTCCCATTTTCCTAAATTTATCAATAAAAGCACTAAAATACTAGGAACTAATAAACAACTTCATTACTCGTTTGGAAGAACAGTTCCATTTAAATAATCAGAAATAAAAATAGATTTGATAGATGAAATGATTTATGATTAAATGATTTAGATATTAAAACAAGGTTCTTGACCTGCCGTGTTAAGCCCAACTGTATTTACGTAGAATTTGTTCAGTCTGCGGAAGCTGAATGTTATCACCAGGGAAAGCGGGGAAATCAGTGGCAGTAATGAGATTTCTCCCATAGCCAAAGTCTTACAGATGTTATTATTTTTTTTTTTAAGATTTTTTATTTATCTATTCATGAGAGACAGAGAGAGAGAGAGAGCAGCAGAGGGAGAAACAGGCTCCCAAGGAGCAGGGAGCCCGATGTGGGACTCGATCCCAGGACCCTGGGATCATGACCTGAGCCGAAGGCAGACGCTCAACCATCTGAGCCACCCAGTCGCCCCTACAGATGTTATTTTTAAGAGCAGAGTTGTTCAATTCAATTCAAAATCTCGAATACCTACTGTCTGCAAAGCACTGAGCTACTTGCACATGCATTCAGTGATGTGTAACCTCAGAAAGTAGGGCACCATGAATAAATGTAACATCCCAAAGAAAATGGTTTAAGTGGTAGAATATAAGATATCAAATGAGAAAGGGGGGTAGGGTAAAATGACAGAAGTTGAAGGTTAATTTGGCTAATTAGGTTAATCTGAACTTCATGTTTAAAGCTCAATAATAAATTTAGTAAAAAATCCACTCTACTTAACCTACTCCTTTTATGTTTCTGGTAACTATACCAAATTCTGAGAAAGCTTTGCAGTCATTGTCAAGTTAAACAGCAATAACATTATTTTATTCAATTAATCATCCTGTACTCTTCATCATTTAAATGCTTTAAATATTGATTAATGATAAGTAAACCACTCAGCTTCTGAAAAGCTTTGAATTTAACCAGAGGTTGGTGTTGGGTGCTAATATTTCCACTTTTTTTGCCCCTCTCTTGTGTCTCTGTGTCTCCTCCTCCTCCTCCTTTTCTCTCTCTCTCTTTCTTTCTCTCTCTCTCCCTCTCGTGTGTGTGTGTGTGTGAGTGTGTGTGTTTAATCTCCACTAAACCAGATCTCCTTCTAACCCATTTAACTACCCCCATGGCTCCAAATTCCCCACTTTCACCTACAAGCAGACGGCCCATAATTACAACTTAACCTTGTACGTTTAAGGTATCTCAAACCCCAATTCTAAAACCACACTCTCTTCCCTCATTCAGAACTGATCCTCCTACAAATTGCTTCCACCTTACTATCGTTGTATGTCCAGTCACTTAAATGGAAACATCTGAGATACCCTTGACCTTTGGTCAATCACTAAGTCCTTAAAAAAAAATCTACTGACATGTTTCATAAATTTTTTCTCTGTTCCATTCTCATTACCACCATGCAGAACTTCATCTGTCACATGGAATATTAAGATAACCTCTTAAATGGTCTCCCTACTTTCTAGTCCCTTCCCACATATCATCCACAATGCCACTGGTTGTTATTCCTTAAACTTTTCAAATTATAAAATTGCAAGCATATTAGCATTTTGTTTGCTTTAATAATAATCTTTAAATTATACCCAGAACTAATTATAATTCAGGATTCAACGTTACTTAATGGTTCCATAATATTTGAGTGCATATATCAGAATTTATGTTTGCCCCCTTAGACAAAGGTGCTACAATCAATACCTTTTGTCCATATTTAACATTATTACTTTAGGAGAGACTATCAGAAGTTCAATTATTGGTCAGAAAAGGTATGATTACTTTGAAACAGTGTTTAAAAAAAACTACTTTCTAAAAGAACTGTACTTTACTAACGATGAGACTGTCCCTTTTTATAGAGAACTGTGTCGTATCAGATCATAGGATGGGGTTGAAGTAGGGGAGAGACTTTGCTAATTTAACAAAAGTATGCTAATTTAATAAACAAATAACTATAATGGTATATGTAATAAATAACTTATTTTGCATTTGTTTAATTGCTAGCGATATGGAACAGTTTTCTATATGTTTATTTTTACAAATTAACTGTTCGTGTCAATTGAGGTCTTAGAAATTGCATGATCTCTTTTGCCCTACAATTTTGGCTGACTTTTATTTGACCTACGGAATTCAAAAGCTTTTAATGTAATCAAATAGTTTTTGATTTAAAAAACAAAGTTTTTGATTAAAGTTTTTAATGCAGAGTCTTTTCTAAGGCTTAGAAAACCCTCCTTTCTCTAGGTCTGATTCATTTATAATGTCTTCTGGTTTTTCTATGGTGGAACCAGCAGAATTTTTATTGGTGTATGGTAAACCTTTGAAGAAGGGAAGAAAATGAATGTGCCTTTTCCACTGTTGGGATCAACCTCATGCAAGTGGTAAGGACAGAGGATCTGGTTCCCTCTGTTAGGCAGCAGGTAGCCTGACTGAGCCTTGGCAAAAGACTCAAATACAAACTCTTAAGAGGCTTCGTGTTTTGGAAATTGTAATCATCCTCAACCTCAGAATACCTTTGACCTACTGCTGCCACCGCATCACATTCCTTCAGTGACCAAATTTCCACCCTATTTCCCTCTTCTTACTTGATACAAATGCATCAGGAGTAATGACTTAAGAGTTTCAGTTTATGGGCGCCTGGGTGGCTCAGTCGTTAAGCCTCTGCCTTCAGCTCAGGTCATGATCCCAGAGTCACTCGGGAAGACTGCTTCTCCCTTTCCCACTCCCCCTGCTTGTGTTCCCTCTCTCACTGTGTCTCTGTCAAATAAATAAATAAAAATCTTATAAAAAAAAAGTTTCAGTTTAAAATCTCCCGAGCATGGGACCCTGGCATACAATTTTGGGACTGATGCTAGGAATAATCAACCTAAGAAAAAAAATACCCCTGAAGAAGTTGGGAAGAGAGCTTTTCTTTTTCACTCTGGCCTATATGTTTAGCTCCAGGCTGTTTTCAACAAACATAAAACTAGGCCCTAAATCAGATAACAGAATAGCAAACCATTACCTTTCCTTGTTGTTCTCATGACGCTCACATGTTACATTAACTAGGTATATCATCTTCCACACTTCTCTTAAAGAGAATTCTTACGTAACTACAGATTTTTATTTTTCATATTCCCAACTATATGCCATTTGAAAACAGTAGTGCTTTCCATATTTTTCATTCGTTATTCTATTTTAAAATAGGAATCCCTAATATAATCTTTAAGATGACAAATACTCCTTTTCTTATTCTTTAATGGAATGCCTCTAAATAGTGAATTGTGATTTTAAATGTTCGTGCCATTAAAATCATGCCTAATATTTGATCTCCTAATGTAAAGTTAAATCGAATGCTATTTGTTACTCAGTAAACCAAAATTGAAAAAAACGTATGGAAATGATATAAGCTGAATAATAAATCTTTGATTCAGAAAATTACAAAGAGTAATCAAAACGTACTGAACTACCTCCTGATCAGTCTTCAGCCTCATTGTAATTATAATTCATCTTCATGTGCCAACTGAATCCAAAATTCTATGTTGGGTTCCTTTGAAAGATATATTTTAGTTTTTCCTCACTATTACCCACCTCTTTTGATTACTCTAAAAAGTAGTCTGTGCCTCATTTTATGAAAACATCCAAGCCATAAAACCAGGAGATCAAGAGGGGACCGATTTCATTTTTCAAGGTTGGCATGGTTCTTTTTTTTTTTTTTTTAAAGATTTTTTATTTATTTATTCATGAGAGACAGAGGGAGAAGCAGGCTCCCAAGAAGCAGGGAGCCCGATGCGGGACTCGATCCCAGATGCTGGGATCATGACCTGAGCCGAAGGCAGACGCTTAACCATCTGAGCCACCCAGGCGCCCATGGCATGGTTCTTTTAAATGACACATTCCTTGGTCCATTTAAATATAACTTAGATTAATTTCTGGAAAGTTTAGTATTTACCAATCAGCTGATTATAAAAGATACATTTAAATTTTAGCTATTTGACCAAATACGCCAATTAAACAAGATTTTCTGATTATCTCATTACAAGACCTCTGTTTTACACTGCTACTATCATTTACCAAGTGCCTATTACGTTGAAGTACCTAAATTACAGAAATAAAGAAAACACCTCATTTTTTTTTTTTTTTCCAGAGAGAGCACGAGCATAAGAGGGGGTTGGGGCAGAGAGAGAGAAAGAATCTTAAGCAGGCTCCATGCTCAATGCAGAGCCTGGCCCAGGACTCCAGGATCTCACGACTCTGAGATCGTGACCTGAGCCGAAATCAAGAGTCGGATACTTAACTGACTGGGCCACCCAGGCCACCCCAAGAAAACATCTCATTTAAAAAATGTAATTTGATTTGAAAACGAACCACAATCCATCTCTAGAAACATAAAATTAGCAAACAAATCTAGTGGAAGTTCAAAATCAACCATCTCAATGGATGGAAGAAATTAAATTTTCTTTACATAGATAAGTATTTAAACAACATTATACCGCTTTATTACAAAATGTGTCTCACAAATCTATAATCCTTCAAGAATATGAACAAATTTAGCTCAAGCTCTAGCATTCTCAGTCATTATTAATTCAATTTTTATCTTCTTCAGAACTTACTCTAAAAGGAATTCTGTTCTCTTTCCAGGCAAAATGTCAGTTACATTACAAGATAAGGAAGACCTCTCAGGAAATCCTTTACTTTTGGTTTCTCCTATCAGACCAATGGAACTAGGTACAGTATTGTGGGTCAAAAATACAATGAAACTGATCAAATTCTAAATCAGAAGATTGGTTTCTAAGAAAAATGCATGATTTTTCCTGATAGAAATGTTATATTTCCCTCTTTTTTACCAATGTATACTAAAAAAAATCATTTCTAAAATATATGATTTAACAAAACATAAATTGCCTAGTAATATTAGCCTTCATATTCACAACCTTTATTCTTTAAACATAATAGAGAATATAATGGTCAAAATTATACATAGTAGGTGCTTAATATTTAATGCACACGTCAGTTTAGCACTCCTGAGGTCTAAGACAAATAGAACTCTACATTTGAAAGTAAATACTATCAAATCAATAAGGTCAAGGATGGTTTTATTCACCCAATTAAAGTCAATATAAATCCCCATTTTGCTTCTAAATTTTTACTGAAAGTTGTTAATTCAAGTAAGGAAAAATACCGAAAAGCATTTCAAAACAAAGACATTAAACACACCACAAAATAAAAACAGCTCCCTAAACTTCAGGTAAATGCTAAAAAGTGCTTTTTTAATGACTTACATTATAGATACTGCAGTCTGAACTACCTTTTTATTAAACATAAACATGAAATCTGAGAAAAACACAAGATAATGTGGCTGTTTAAATAACCAATATAACTTCAAGTAAAGTCATTACCATAAAATGAGTTGCAAAACTATGCTAGAGATGTAACATAAAGGTACCATGCTAGGATTTCTAAGTGGGGACATTCTGCCGAAGGCATTATGGAATTTGTGACACACTTCCTTGCATTAAAAAAACTAATACGTCACTTAAAATGACATTTGGTCTTTGACCAATGGGACATCTTTTATTTTCATAAGGAGTAAGAAGGACCAGTTGTTATAATGTGACTCTTCCCTTTATTCATGAATCATCTTGGTTCTCAGAACTGACTGAACACTAGAATCATAATCTGGGGATGAGGGGTAGGAGTAATTGCAAAGTAGTCATTTACAGAAGTTCCCCAGGAGATATTGATATGTAGCCAATGGATCATTAGATTAAAAGAGGAGATAAATTGCTCCCACCGATCCTATCACAAAACAAAAAACAAACAGAAATTGCCCTCAATGAGCCACTTTCTAATTGTGTTGCTTTCTACAAGTAAGTAATACAAAGTTATATATTCAACATTTAGTATATACTGACATACACACCACATACCAAAGGAGCGGGATGGAAGAGTAAGAAATGATAGAAAAAAAAGATGATCAAAACGTGACTAATTAAAAACACAACTTTTTTAAAGCCAGTCACTGTCATGGTAAGAAACAGATTCAGGTTCTGTATTTCATTTCCCCATTAGCTTCAGAGAAAAGCTAAGCTATGATTTGTACTCCATCACCTAAGGAGAAAATTTGTTTACTAAGGTTGCATCCAATTACTTTACTTATCTTGTTTTATGTATGTAACCTATGTACATATCTCTTTCCCTCCCCACCCAATACAGGTAACTCTACATCAATTATGGAACCCTCTATTAATCCAACTTTTATTCCAACTATAGCAAATGAAGGAGGAAAACACTGGACTGTGCCAGAAGTCAGGGCTCTAATTGGCATCTGGTCTGATATAAGTATACAACAACAACTAGAAGGAACAGTGAGAAATAAAAGGATATTTGAACAAATTGCTGCCAAGCTTCAGAAATCTGGAATAGAGAGAGACTGGAAGCAGTGCAGAACAAAGTACAAAAACTTAAAACATGAATACAAGATTGTAAGAATGGCTCAAGACCAAGGCATGACTAAGAGTATGAAATTTTTTACTGAGTTGGATACTATTCTGGGACATAATAAAACAGAAAAATCACAACAATGGGAATTCCAAGATGAAGAACAAGCCACCGGATGTGCCAATGTAAAAACAGAAGAGGATCAGACAGGTAGGAAGGCAAAGAAAAGTAATCTAAACATCAGGTCACATCATATGAAAATGTTAGTAGCATGATAACGTGAATATAATCTAAGTTAAACAGGCTTCACTATATTCCAAAGCTAAAGGTTGAATTTATCATGAAACAGATTTAATGTATATGCAATTGCCTCCAGAACACAGAGAATAGTACAAAGTTATACATAAGGATGAAATAAAATTGATTTCCACAAGTTTAAAAATAGACCAATTTTACTAAAGTAAAACTGCAACTCTAAATGGCAGAAGTTAAAGTTTTCATATTAACTATAGTAAAATTGAGGGAACAGAAAAAGAACATTAAAGAACTTAGAAAAATAAAAAAACCCATGAGAATGTCTTTGAAGTATAAGTTCATCTGGGACACATCATAAAGTTCTTTAAAACGAGTTTAACCCAAAGGATTGAGAAACAATACATACAGAGATATGACAGCATGAAATAAACTAGATGAGTTCTAGACCAAGAGTCAGGAAATCAAAGTTCTAGCTCAGTCTTTGTGGAATCTTGAACCACGTGTCTCCTCTAGACTTGACAAGATGTTCTTAAAGACCTCTACTAACCATAAAGTTTCTATTTCTTAATATCTGCCTTAAACAATGCAGTCCTAATTCTCAGAGTCTGAATGTGTATCTAGGGGAAACAGAGGCAATGACAGAGAGTTAGGATTGAGAAATGGTGGCGAGAAGTCCTGAAATCTTTCGCTGGTGGAGAAGAAACTGATCTGCTAGAGAACTATACATCTGTCCCATTAAAATTAAGATGACTAGTGGTAAAGTTGCCCAACAGCAGCAGCATGATTATGTTCAGACAGTAATTGCTAGAGATACAGCTGATGGTGATTCTATCAGTTATATGTCAGAAGACCTCGTTAGAGACAACACCAGATATCTATAGGAATCTAAGACTAAAGATGTTTAAGGGTGGGGAATGTAAGCTAGAGAAAAGCAAACAACCACAGTATTTAGCATTCAGTATTTTTTTATTTATGTTTAATTTTAAGATTTATTTATTTACTTGACAGAGAGAGAGAGAGACAGCGAGAGAGGGAACACAAGCAGGGGGAGTGGGAGAGGGAGAAACAGGCTTCCTGCCAAGCAGGGAGCCCGATGCGGGGCTCGATCCCCAGACCCTGGGATCATGACCTGAGCCGAAGGCAGATGCTTAACCGACTGAGCCACCCAGGTGCCCCCCAGTTTGTTTTTTTTTTTAAAGATTTTATTTGAGAGAGAGAGAGAGAGAGAAACACAAGTGGGCGAGGGGCAGAGGGAGACGGAGAAGCAGACTCCCTACTGAGCAGGGAGCCTGACACAGAGCTCGATCCCAGGGCTCTGGAATCATGACCTGAGCTGAAGGCAGACACTTCACCAACTGAGCCATTCAGACACCCCCATCAGGTTCAATTTAAAAGGGATAATAACATATTAGAGTTTAAAACACTATCCTGAAGGTGAATAAAACCAAACCACCATATATCCCACTATATTCACACAGTCATTGCTGGAGATGCAGCTGAAGATGACTTTGTCAGTAGTATGTCAGAAGACCTAAGAGAGGGAGATGTAAAACAAAGTCCTGGTACAGGTAAAACAGTATTTTTTGTTTTTGTGTGTGTGAAAAAATACGTAAGATGTTATTATATGATGTTGCTATGGACTGAACTGTGTCACCTCTAAAGTCATATCAACATATGTAAGAGCATTTGGAGATGGGGCCTTCGGGAGATAATGAGGTTTAGAGGTCATGAGGGTGGGGACCTTTTGATGGGTTTTATGATTCTATTACATTTGATGTATAATATATAATAATATAATAAGATGCTATAATAACTAATTTTATAAGAACATATACAAGCTTATGACATTATATGAAGAGTAACACTCATATTTACAAAATGCAGAAATGGAAGGTGAAAATTGTTAATGACAGTTATGTTCCCTATAGCTGTGGTTTTCAGAGTAAGCAGCATCAGCATCATCTGAGAACTTAGGCATGCTCAAGTTTCAGAAACACTGTCCTATGGTTCAGGATACTAAAGGGGTGAAGGAAAGTAAGTGCTTTCTACATGATGGTTTGCCTTTTACACAAACCAAAATGAGCAATAGGGGGATCCCCCCAAGCAAAAGCCTAGCTAGCCATCACAGACCTCGTACATAGTCTTTCAGTTTAAAGCTTCATATAGCCTTGGAAAATGTAAAGATCATATTGATTAACAAACCAGGTAATCAAATTCCCCACACTCTTGGCAAACTTCTTTGTCTGACTTAACAGATACGACAGATTAAAAGCTCAGTGGGAGAAAGGAAAGCTGCTAGAACAGTGAAAGGCAAAAACAGGGAGAAATTAAGGAGACTAATTCGATAGGAACATGCAGCTGACTAGGGGTATGATAACAAAGGTAAACAAAACTCTGGGCTCCTAAGGTTTCTCAGGGCATCACAGTAACGACCCTGTCGTTAAAAGTAAAAAAGTTAAAATCAGATTGTGTTTAATAAGTCAGGAAGATTTCAAAGGAAATAATTAAGAACTTTAGCATCCAGATTTTAGCTTGTTAGTCCTCTGGACTCAAGTACAATACCTCAAGATAATCTTTATATGTGAAAGGAAAACATTAAGTCAGATATAAACTGACAGGGTTTTTAAAAATTGTCTGGTATGTTTATATGTTAATTTGGAATACGTTTAAAAATATGAAACAGGAAATATTTACAGTCATTCTAGAAATTAAGCTATTTTAAACTTTCACGTGAAAATAAAAGCAAAGGTATAAACCCACAAGAGAAGAAATTGATTTTTTAAATTATTTATTTATTAGAAGATTTTACTTTTATGTAATCTTTATACCCAATGTGGGGCTTGAACTCACAACCCCAAGATCAAGAGTTACATGCTCCATGAACTTAGCCAGCCAGGCACCCCAGGAAAAAAATTAAAATAGGAAAGGACTTTCGGCACATCTGCAATATACAACTATTGAGGCACAAATCGCTGCTCCACTATTTAAAGAAGATTGTTGTATTGAGAAATAAAGATATGGATATTTATCTTCAGGAAAAAATTCACATCAAATATTCTTTCTTTAAAAACAAAACACAGAGGCACCTGGGTATGCTCACTAGGTTAAGTGTCCAACTCTTGATCTCAGCTCAGGTCTTGATCTCAGGGTCGTGAGTTCAAGCCCTGCACTGGGCTCCACGCTGGGCATGGAGCCTACTAAACAAACAAATAAATATAAAAACAACATAATAAACCGATGAACATTCATGTAAAAAGAGGTAGGGGTTACTTATTTTGATTTTATATTTTTACTAATGAAATATTGGAATCTGAGTTGCTATTGCCCCATATTGTTAACATTGACACTTGGTCATGAAACTTATCTCCCAAAAGTAATTTTTTTACCATCTTAAAGGTATGCTATAAGATTCTTACTTTGGGCGCCTGGGTAGCTCAGTTGCTTAAGAGTCTGCCTTTGGCTCAGGTCATGATCCCAGGATCCTGGGATCAAGTCCCGCATTGGGCTCCCTGCTCGGGGCGGGGGCCTGCTTCTCCCTCTCCCTGCCATTCTGCCTCCTTGTGTTCTCTATCTCTCCGTCAAATAGATAAAATCTTTAAAAAAAAAAAAAAGATTCTTACTTCAAATAAAAATCTAACTGGAGCTGTGGACCCCCTGGATTCTAGATAACTAATTAGTTCCCAATTTAGAACTCCTGGAGATTCTGGTCTAGCCTGTTACAGGATGGGTTCAGGCACCTATATTTTTATAGAAGATCATCAAGCACAGCCAAGGTTGAAAACCACAGCTAGGCTGTCAAATTTAGAGAGTAAGGCCAGCAGAGGGCTGAAGAAAGTAAAACATAAAATCCAATTTGATTCCATTTAGGGGAGAAAAATTAGCCAATTCCAATTATCACTTTAAAAAATGCATGACTAAAGGGCACCTGGGTTCGGCTCAGGTCATGATCCCGGGGTCCTGGGATCAAGTCCCGCATCGGGCTCCCTGCTCGGCGGGAAGCCTGATTGGCCCTCTCCCATTCCCCCTGCTTGTGTTCCCTCTCTCGCTGTGTCTCTGTCAAAGAAATAAATAAAATCTTTTTTTTAAAGATTTTACTTATTTCTTTGACAGAGAACACAAGCAGGGGGAGTGGCAGGCAGAGGGAGAGGGAGAGGCAGACTCCCCGCTGATCAAGGAGCCCAATGTGGGGCTCGATCCCAGGAGCCTGGGATCATGACCTGAGCTGAAGGCAGACGCCCAAACAACTGAGCCACCCAGGTGTCCCAGAAATAAATAAAACTTAAAAAAAAAAAAAGCATGACTAATGCAATATGAAAGAGTTAATCACTGGGAAGAATCACAGAACTCCTGGGCTATGCCTACCTATTATAATAAGTAAAAAGAAATGGCCCATGAAAATTGAGTAACTACTTCTTTGGATCTAAAATAAATTTATTTTTCTCCCTGCCTGAGGCATAGGCAAGAGATGATAAAAGGAATCAGAAAGTTAGCAGAAAAAGGACTGTCTAAAGAGGAAATCTGTGTTCGACAGTCTTGTCAGTTTCCTCTCTTCTGAGTAAACCTAAAATTGACTTAATTCATTTCTAGTATCAGTTGCTATTTATATATGAGGTGGAATACTTCAATATCTTCATATTCTCACAAGTCACTGCTTTCTAGTAGAGGCAGTCAAAGGTAGATCAATTTTGGCTCCCAGGGGTGGAGACGGGCATATATATATCCTTTTGGAGGTTACTCTTAGCCTAAAAATCTCAAGTCAAAGACTACATTGTTCTTTTAAGAATAATCTTAAAACTGTCTATTTTCTTTTTGGCTGTGGTAAAATGTATTTCCAAAATTAAGATATTCACTATCCCCATGACTTCACAAAAATTAACAATGTGATGGCCAGCAGAAGGCATTAAATTATCTATTGTTAGTACCTCAGAGGCTATGCCAAGTTTTTTTGTTTTCTCCAATTCATGTATTTCTCCAATTCATTTATTTTGGTTTATTTGTAACGAAAAATTGGAAATAATTTTTTTTTTTTTTTTTAAGATTTTATTTATTTGAGAGAGAGAGAGAATGAGTGAGGGAGAGCGTGCACATGAGAGAGGGGAGGGTCAGAGGGAGAAGCAGACTCCCTGCTCAGCAGGGAGCCCTATGCGGGACTCGATCCAGGGACTCCAGGATCATGACCTGAGCCGAAGGCAGTCGCTTAACCAACTGAGCCACCCAGGCGTCCCGGAAATAATTTTCTTTAAAATGAAATATTTAAACACTTTGGTACATTTTGAATACAATTGGATAATCTTAGCAGTAAAATTATTATAAACTAATGCACTTTCATCACATGAACCATAATATTGAGAACCTTTAAATTTTTAATCCAACAGAAGATACAAGTAAAGACTTGATGGTTAAAATTTCAGAAAACTCAAAAATGATAAATGTAAAAAAAAGTTGAGACTTAGGTAAGCTGATAAATTTAAATACAGGCAACTTGATAATTATAAAGGTATGACTTTTCTAATTCTTCCTGTTTATATTTTCACAAGCTCTTTAAGAAGCTGTGACATAATAAAGAATACAGATGCGCCTAGCTGACTTAATTAAGTCAGAAGAGCATGTGGCTCTTGATCTCAGGGTTGTAAGTTCAAGCCCCACATTGGGTGCAGAGATTGCTTAAAAGTAAAATCACACAAAAAAAATTAAAATAAAAAAAGAATACATATATCTGGTTTTGTGCCCTGTTCCTGACACAGAGCTTCAAAAACCTTTGGAATTTCCAAAGTGGGTTTCTAGAGCTTCAGGATAGGACTGGTCACCATAAAGACCAACCTTGTGATTAAGAGGCTTGGAATTTTAGGCCAGCCTGACCTCTAGCAGGGAAGTAAGTCTGGAGACTGAATTCAGTCATGTGGCCAGCGATTTAATCAATCATGCCATAATCAATCATGTCAACAAAACTTTGGCTTAGAAGAGCTTCCTAGTTGGTGAAGACACGGACGTGCTGGAAGAATGACAGGCTCTGATTCCACAGAGACCTGGAGGTTCTGTATCTAGGACCTTCTCAGACCTTACCCCATGTGGATTTCCATTTGGTTGTTTCTGAGTTCTGTTTTTTTTTTTTAAGATTTTATTTATTTATTTGAGAGAGAGAGCGAGCACAAGAGGGGGGAGGGTCAGAGGGAGAAGCAGACTCCCCGCCGAGCAGGGAGCCCGATGCGGGACTCGATCCAGGGACTCGATCCAGGGACTCCAGGATCATGACCTGAGCTGAAGGCAGTCGCTTAACCAACTGAGCCACCCAGGCGCCCTAGGCTAGGTGAGGTGGTTAGGGGGCCCATAAGCCTATGCAGCAATAGGTATGTGGAGATTTACATTAGGATAGGACTAGATCTTATTTTAAGGACGTGTTTGCACAGTGAGACTAGAATGACGTTTAGCTTTTAGAAATATCAATACCTTTTTTTTTTTTTAAGATTTTATTTATTTGAGAGAGAGAATGAAAGAGAGAGAGCACATGAGAGGGGGGAGGGTCAGAGGGAGAAGCAGACTCCCTGCCGAGCAGGGAGCCCGATGCGGAACTCGATCCCGGGACTCCAGGATCATGACCTGAGCCGAAGGCAGTAGTTTAACCAACTGAGCCACCCAGGCGCCCCACTACAAAGGCATTTTAAAATTTGGTTAGAGATGACAAATGTTCTTGGCTAAGAGGTTACAGTTGTTTTGTTTTTTTTTTCTAAAGATTTTTTTGTTTACTTGAGAGAGGGGGAGGAGGGGCAGAGGGAGAGGGAAAGAGAGTCTCAAGCAGACTCCATACTGAGCACAGAGCCCCACGTGGGACTCGATCTCACGACCCTGAGATCACAACCTGAGCTGAAACCAAGAGTCAAATGCTCAACTGACTGTGCCACCCAGGTGCCCCTAGGCTACAGTTTTGATGCTGGAATCCAACATTACTAGTTTTTCAGTATAATCTTCCACTGCAAAAGTAAATTTGAGTTCTGTGAACAGCAAATTTAAGCTGCTATTCTCTTTGTTTTCTGACAGAGGAAGATACCGTAAGTACAGCCTCAGAAGAGGTGGGAGGCTCCAAAGCACCACAAAGTATCACTGTGTCAGGTACAGGGTCTAAATTGTTTAAAAAATGTTTTCGGGGCAACAGGGTGGCTCAGTCAGTTGAGCACTGGACTCCTGATCTCAGCTCAGGTCTTGATCTCAGGGTGGTGAGTTCAAGCCCTGCGTAGGGTTCCACACTGGGAGTGGAGCCTACTTGAAAAAAAATTTTAGGCTAATACATACCAGTTTAAGTAGTTAAACCAAGACTCTCCACATTTGTAAATATCCAATGAAGATACCTATTGATGAAAAGCAGCTAAATTATCTCACCAATATTGGAGATTAGTCTGCCTTTAATTTTTTAAATATCTTATTTGAATACGAACATAAGAGGAAATTTTTACCCTCATATTGAAATTATCGTAATCTCGGTGCTTTATGTCAATACAGGTTGTTTTAAATGAATAATATTTAAATACAAGATTTATCTGTAAGTTTGTGTAATTGTAAATCAAATTGATTTATAGGTAATCATATTCCTTTAGAAGATGCTAAAAATCATTTACAGATTGTAACAGTGAGCGACACAGAGGCTGGAAAACACTGGTGTGACAATGAGGTCAGAGCGCTTATACACATATGGTCTGATGAAAAAATTAAGCAAATGCTTGAAAGGGCCACAAGAAACAAAGAAATATTTGAGGAAATTGCCAGAAGACTAATGCAGTTTGGAATAGACAGAGACTGGAAACAATGTCGTACCAAATACAAAAATTTAAAATATGAATACAGAGTTTTACAAAAGAAAAATGGCAACCCTCAAAGAAAAATGAGATTTTATGAAGAAGTTGACTGCATCCTAAGAGGACCAACTCTCAGAACTGCCAAATGGAAACATGGTAACCTTGAAATTGACTTTTTAAAATAAAAATTCTATTAAGTTTTTTCTTTGCATTGTAATGTAGCAAGAGATTCCTCAAAAATAAAATCCTTACACTACTGTATGTTCAAATGACCCAAAAAATTATTATGAAGCACATACCTAAGAATTTCAATCTTTCCAAACCTTGTACCAAAACATTCTTAATTCTTAAACTCATTCTTTATCTGCCCAACCACCACTTTAATGTTTTTACTTCAATGTACTCGAATGCTTGAAGATGAATATATTTTAAATGATGTCATATAATGATTCTTTTCCTGTGTTCTTTTGTTTTAAGAATTATTTGAAGGTCATACCAAAAACCCAAGAACTTTGAGCGTCAAAAGAAAAGCACACGAAGACGGTAAGAGCCTGAGAAATGCCATGTTTTGGCACTGAAAAAAAACTTGCTGCTTTTTCCTGATAAGAGATGTTTATTCCTGTCCTTGACAAATTAGACTAAATATATTGTTTATAAGCTGTGAGAGCAAAAAATGCTGAGCAGTGATTTCTTTCATAGCTTATTAAAAGTAACAGAGTAAACGGAAACTTTCCCAGAGTGAGAAATTTCTCCACAACTGTCCATTCATCATGAGTCTTTAAATTACAATTTACAGTGATTGCTATCAGAAGACTGGGATGGAAAAGGAAAAGGACCCACAAAGTAATAAATTCTGAATTTTAGTTTTCTCCAAAGGTAGTTAGTAATGAGTACAGCATTTTAGCAATCCTACAAATAAGTCAACCTAATTATGTAAGCCATAATTCCAAATTGACTCATTACAGATATCAGAAAAGGTAATACAACGTAGTAGAGCAAATAGAAGAATAAAAATGCAGAACCGAAGAAAAAGCACTGAACTGAAACTCAGAAAACCTGAGTTCCAATCTCTCTCTGACCCCAATAACTCAACGCAGAGCAAATCACTACATCTCTCTGGATCTTTAGGATAATTCAATTTAAGCATTTTATGATTTATAATCTATCCAATTATTTTGAGTATACACAAGTAGTTGAAGAGCTTAATTTTTACAAAGTGAACACACCCATGAAACCATCACTCAAATCAAGATATAAAACATTACACCAGCACCTTTCAGGCCTCCCAGTCATAATCATCTTCCTAACCCCTATAAGGGTTATGATTATTCTGACTTCTCTCACCATAAATTTGGAATCATACAAGATGTTCTTACTTTTTTGGTATGTGTTCTTTAATGTCATGCTTCTTTCACTCAACACTGTGAGATTCAACCATGCTATTACTTGTAGTAGGAGCTTGCTCTTTTTCACTGTAGAATATTCCATTATATGAATATACATACCACTACCTTCTTTAACCATTCCACTGTTGGACATTTCCATTATTTCCAGATGGGGACTATTACAAATAACACTATAAAAATTCTTGTGCATGTCTTCCAGTAAACATATGTATGCATTTCTGTAGAGTATATACACAAGAGTGAGATGGAGGGTCATGGGGTACACATATATCCAGGTACAGTTCTAAGCACTTTACATATACTAATGCATTTACTTCCTATCACAACTCTATGACGTGGGTGTTATCATTATACCCAATTTTTAGAGGAGGAAATGGAGGCATAGGGAAGTCCGTGTTCTTGAGCCAGCTGGCTAATGTTGCCTCTCTGTGTGGTCCAGGGACTGTATCTGCCCTGTGCAATAAGTATTCCTCGTACTGACCACAGTGTCTTATGTATACGCGATAGGAGCTAAACAAGTATTTTTTGAATAAAGTATTAGATAATAACAGGAACATCCCTATCCTCAACAACCCTTATTATATCTCAAGTGAGCTGAAAATTTTATTCTCCATTTTTGGACCTAAAGTGCAAGTCAGATGAGTTATCCTGACCTTTGCCATCTCTTAATGCCCTATAGTGTATATGCTATTGAAAAGGAAAATTGCTAAGGGCTAACCACACAAAAGTATTCCCAACCCCCTGGATTTTGCCCGTTGAACCTTTAAATAACATAAGTCTAGCCCAAAAGATGAGAAAACAGACTCTAAAGTTAGGAGACTTGCCCAAGATCAAACTGATGTTGGAAAACTGGGACTAGGTTTCAAGTCTTATGTTAAGGAGCTATTTCCAATTTTGACCAGAATGACAAAGCAGCAGTACTCTGAAACTCTTTGGGGGATAGATAAGTCCTGCTTCAAACTAATGCAAAAAGCAAAGTTATAAATAATAGCTGTAACTTGGAAGAACTGAAAACATTTATGATTTAAAATTGAGAATCATTAAGTTATAAAAGTAACTGAATTAAAAAGTCTTTCAAGCCCAAGACTGGTACAATTAGCAAGGACAATTTTAACATAAGTCACTTCCCCAACCAAGGGTATGGAAAACACTATAGAAATGGGACGTATTTGGTCATTATTACTAAGAGATGAAAATCAAAAAAAGTTATCCCAGCCTTAAATTTGGCAACTCCAAGCAAGTTCTCTGACAACCTTCCTGTGTACTCCAACAAACTTAAATGAAGACAACTGGAAACTAATTCCACAGAGGTTGTCTGAGGGCATCTCTTTCTCACAACTACCTTTCTAGTGATAATATTATATACTCTATTTACAGGACCAATGTCTGTATCTCTTAAGAAAACTGCTCCTGAGATCACTGCAAATAGGTTTCCTCAAAGCACAACAGAACGAAAAGATTCTACAGAATGTTTCTACAGAAAGGAAACCCCCTACGTGATCCAACTTCATCAGGTAAATCTCAAAATTTTTAGAAGTATGAAAATGTTTATCAGTTGTAGGGTTCAATTCCTAACCCAGGGAAATAATTCACTTTTGGGGTGGGCATTTTCATCTCCTAATTAACCAAGGAAAGGCTAACTAGTTGATTCATGAGATAAATCTATGAAATTTTAATAATTCCTTTTATGGAATCTTCAAAATATGTCCATGTCATTCTAGTCTCCAAAAAATGCTGCCTGTAGTTGAAACGTGAAGATTTCTGATCTAAAAAGGTGTGTGTGGGGCGCCTGGGTGGCTCAGTTGGTTAAGCGACTGCCTTCGGCTCAGGTCATGATCCTGGAGTCCCGGGATCGAGTCCCGCATCGGGCTCCCTGCTCGGCAGGGAGTCTGCTTTGCCCTCCGACCCTATCCCCTCTCATGTGTTCTCTCTCATTCTCTCTCTCTCAAATAAATAAATAAAATCTTTTAAAAAAATAAAAAAAAAATTAAAAATAAAAAAAATAAAAATAAAAAGGTGTGTGTGGTTTGTTCAGAACTCTGCAAACCACTGAACCAAAGTTTTTAGGACTGAAAAAGCATGTGGTGATTATATGTATCTGTCGTGAACATGCATACACACAGAGTTTGCATCTAAAGAGCTCACTGAAAATGTTAAATTCCCCAATAGAAAGTAGAGCTATGGAATAAATCTCCAAACTGCCAGAACTACCAGAAAGAAGTACTTCTGAATGAACCCATCTGGATTAAGTATTCAGCGCATGACTATCTAGTAATTGGTGTTCCATTTGTATTTAAATGAAATACATAATATAACTTTCAGGTACTCTATTATCCCTAAGGTGAGACTAAATTTTTTATTTATTTTTATTTTTTAAAAAGATTTTATTTATATGACAGAGAGAGAGAGCACAAGCAGGGGGAACGGCAGGCAGAGGGAGAGGGAGAAGCAGGCTTCCCAGTGAGCGGGGAGCCCGATGTGGGGCTCCATCCCAGGACCCTGGGACCACGACCTGAGCCAAAGGCAGACACTCAACTACTGAGCCACCCAGGCGCCCCGAGAGTAAATTTTTTAGATCAGATTATACCTAAGACAAATACAATGCAAAAGTGATAGCAATCTCACCTTCTAGATTCCATGTTTTAGGAAGATAATGTGTAAGAGGTAAATTCCTTTATCAAAAAGGAAAAAAAAAACCAACAGAATCCTGTTACTATTGTTTTAAAACAACTAAGTATTGAGTGGAAGGAGGTGAGGAGATAGAGACTTCTGCAACAGACCACCACTTACAAGTGTACAGCGCATTTAACTAACTCTACTATATATTAAGTTATGACAACCTATCTAGGTGTCCAGTTTTAACATTCCTTGATTCAATGCCATAGAAAAACATTAGTTTTTAATTTCTGAACCCTACGGACTAGTTCAGAGTAGCAGAAGATTTTTATCTTCGAGACATTAGGGAATTTCATCATTCTTCCAATCAGATCAGTTCCTCTAAAGGGTGAGGACTTTTGCTAATTCAAAATTTTTAATTGGATGAATTTATGGGAGAGAACCAGTCTTCTCAGTGCACCTTAATGATTCTATGTCTACAAAAGGAAAATCTTAAACAAATAGCTTTCCATTAATACATTTGTTCCCCAGAAACTACTGGGTTCCTTGCCGCTGTTATTGAAAACATCACAAGGTCAATTTTCAAAACCAGTTTAACAAAGACTTATTTGGTCAGATGAGCAGCCTCAGAGAATCCATTTATTATTGCTCTATTATCATAATTACATTTTTATTGCTCTTGTACTGTCTAATCCTTAATTCTTTCACATAAAAGCAACTACAGAAAAGTGCATGTAGCTAGAAATCAAGTTGTATTCATTAAACAAACAAACAAAACAAATCCTTTTTCTTCCGGCACATATTTAAAGGAGAGACTGAAGATCCTCTTCCCTTCACAGAATATCCAAAATAACTTATCCTAAGAATGTTATAAACTCATGTTGCTCTGAACTACCATATAAGTAGATTTTAGTTTGTTCTTGGATTATATATCTAATCTTCTCAAAAAATGTACAGTATTTTAAAACAAGATCTCTTTTAGGGTCAACCCACAATTATCCAGGACCAGAGTCATTCAAGTTAAAAATATTCTTTTTGATTCAACCCAGACTCTAAAGTTACTCTCAGGTCTTTAAAGAAGTACATAAGACGTGAAACTAAAGTATTTGCCACTCTGAAAAGATCAAAAAGACTACTTGCAATCCAAGTTTGGTGAGGGAAAGCAGATCATTTGGAATGCATTTATACTTGTAGCTCCCATATTGCTGATAAATGTTACTGCCAAATTCCTTAAACTGTTCTAAAAGTTATTGCTGCAGCATTGCCTTATGAAAACTTTGTAATACTTTCAGTGATAATGTCCAACCTACGTTTATATCAAATGCCAGGTAATAAGAAATGGAAGGATCACGGAAGACAAGTTATTTTTTAACTCAAAGGGATCTACCAATTTTTCAAAAATCAGTATGTATCTAGTCATACAGGAACTGCTCCCCTTTCCGTCTTTTAAATAAGGGAGTTACTTTTTGGCATCTTCTTACTACAACCTTTTCCTTCATTATCTGAAATCCGTGACTCTTTTGCAGATGCACTATTTCCTGTGACTGGTTTATTTTCAGTTAGTTTGTATGAGAACTACAACCGAGACTTCCTTTTGAATATCAACTAGCTCTGTTTCCTGGGGTTTGAACTCTAGAATCCCCTAAATTCTCACAGCTATGACTACGTTCACATCTACAATTTGCTCAAAAGCTCTGCCCTTGCAAACAAAAGCTTGCGGTGGTCGAAGGCTCCGCGAGAACACCTCAAGGTGTTGTAGGTCCTGGGCCAGCAGCCACCCCACACAAACCTTCACAAAAGCAGCTCCAGGCTCTGCAAGATTAAAACGGGCAAGTAGTGGGCGAAGTCCCGATTCGGCCAACCCTAGCGAACCGGAGCCTTACAAATTGGCCAGACTCATGAGGGGTGCACACAACCGGAGAAGGGGGGGAAGCCCCTAAAGAGCATTAAGGGTTTGGGGGGAGAAGCAAGTCCAGGGATGCAAGGTGGTGCCCGCGCACGCCTTGGCAACCTAATTGATGCCACAAGCAGTTATCAATCCAGGCAATAGAGGTCGATCTCCAGGCCCTCAGGCGCACAGGAGATCGCTAACTCGGGCCGCGGGAAACGACTTGGTCTGAAGGAGAGAGAAGCACACGCGCCGCCACCCCCACCCCTCAGCCGGTTGCTCACCGGTGCTGCAGCCCCACGAGTCCCAGAGTGATCACATGCGGCACATCTAGCTGCGTGGGCCACTCTCCTGAGGCGATGCACCCGAATACGCCACATTCCTCTCGGATTCCCAACTCCTCCAGCTCCATGTCGCTGCCGAAAACACGTGCAGGGACCTGCCGCCGCAGCAGGGGCCTGAGCACCAACCAGCTGCCCGCAGGCCCGTACGCCTCAGAGGCAAGCTTCCTTCCCCAGCCGCTCGACCCTCGCTACTGCGACGGCGCGCGCTTTCCCAAAGCAAGCGTGATTAGCGCTTCCCCCGCTGCACACCCTGCCCCGCCCCCTCAGGATGCACCAATGAGCGAGGAGGGAGGGAGAGCCTCCGTGGCTGAGAGGAGGAGTCACAGACGCCTGGGGTGGAGCTAGTCCTCCGCCGGATCCCTAAGGGAAACTACTTTTTCTCCACATGGAAATCTCCGTTATTTTCTAACACCCAAGACTGGGGTGATGAGAGTAGTACTGTTAAGGTCATTTCTGTCCCAGAGGATGTAAACTTTGTATGGCCCTCCTCACATGTTTTCCCCCGGCCGTCACTACTTGGTACGCTCCAACCTATGAACCGCTCTCGCAGCGGAGAAGGTAGCCGGTCAGCGAGCCTGTGTAGAATCGGGAGGGTCCGTCAGTGCGCGCCACTTTTCGCCTCTTCTGGAACAGCGCCCGCGCACAGGGGTGAAGGGGGCGGCCTGTGTCTCTGCGCCTGCGCGGCGGGAAGCCTCGCGGGTAGAGCTAGCTCGCAGAATCCAAGTTGCTCTTGGGCGGCAGAGACTTCCCGGGTTCGGTGGCGGCTGTATTGCTAGCGGAGAGCGCGTGTGGGCGCCCAGGAATACTAGGCCTGGCCGGAGGTGTGTCTGTGGGCCGCTTTCCCTCCCCCGCCACGTGAGCCTCTCTGACCACTCCTCTTTTCCAGAGTCTTGCCTGTCTTCCCGGCGCGGCCGCTGCCCCCAGCCCACGCAGGATAATGGCGACAGCTGAGGGTGAGTAACAGGCACCCCCAGGAATCTGCCGGGGACTCCTGCCCTCCTCGGTCTTCCAGCCGCCGCCTCCTTGCCTGGAGGTTGCGGACTCGCCGCCGACACGTGCATGCCCCGCGGCCCTGCTGGCAGCCTCCTCCCGGGCTGTGCCTGGTCTCCTTGCTGCCGCCGCTCTAGGCCGCAGGGCGGGCGGACACGTGGCCCGGGCACCGCTAAGCGGGGCGTAGGAAACCCAGCGCTCCCGGGCCTCGCCGAACTTTCTGAAATACTCGGAACTGGCTCTGGGTTGGGGAAAAGAAACAAAGTAGAGGAAGAGAGTGGTTAGAAAAAGAAATGGCCAGGGGTTGGAGAGGTGCCTGGAAATCATATTGGTAATCAATAGTTATTGCAAAACAATCACAGGAACTTATGTGTTGATTCTTCTAAGTCTTGCTTTTCCTGTTAAGTCAGTAGCCTGCTATTTCCGGAACATTAATATTTGAATCTATTGAAAAATTTACTTTTTTGGGTCCAGATTTTGTGTCCTTTATAGTCTTGATGCCATGATGACTTTGAAGAGCTCCAGAAGTACCAGGCAGAAAGTTGCCTTGATTCATTTTACATTTATCTTATTTACATAATCTTTTTATTTACGAGTGATTAGGTGCCCAGAAAAGATCACTTGTGACATTTATGCTGATAAAACAAACTTTTTTTTCCCCACACACCCAATTTCTAAATTTATGGTGAACCAAATTGCTTGTGTTGGCTGATCAGTACATCGTCTTCCACAAAGAAAAATTGAATTTAGGTAAAATATTATAGACTTAATCTAATATAGGTATCTGTCGTTTTGCTAAAGTGCTTAAAAGCCACATGGTTGTTCTTAGGATAAAATGGAAACACTATCAACATGATGTATGAGGCCTGAAGGATGAATAGTGAAATGCAAGGGAAGGAAACAGTGTTTGGGCCTAGGGAGAGTGTGGAGAATTAGAGTTCTGGAAAGGGAATACAGAAATCTGAAGTTGGAGCACTAAGCTGAGGCTCTAACTTGAGGGACCTTTTAAACCTTGTCAGTAAGTCAGGATGTTACGATAGGATGGGAATTCATCCTCTAGGTACCTTGCAGCGTAACTATTAAATTGAATTATAACTGTTTGTTTAATGGTCACCTCCACTAGCTGGTGATCTGACCACTGCTCAGTTCTCCTGCCATTCTTTTCTACTCTGTAGCTGCTGCCCTCCCTCCCTTGCCCAATAGCAGTGTGTGTGTGCGCGCGCACACACACACACACACACAAACACACCTCCAACCATCCTGAAGTCCTGCCCTGCACTGTTCACACACACACACACACACACACCTCCAACCGTACGGAAGTCCTGCCATGCACTGTTAACCCCATGGTCTTTTTTCACCACCACTACTAACCCCTTTCCCTCTTTTGGCTAAATATGTATCCTGCCTCAGATCTCAGCCTCAACCTCACTTTGTTTCAGACGTCCTTCTCTGGTGTCTAGACTAGGTTAGGTGGGCCTGCTATGAATGTGTGATCCTGTAGTCTCTGTATGTCTCACACCATACTTACTTTGATGTCCTGTTTAATTTTAGCTTCCCTCAGACTCAGGTTGCTTGAGAGCAGGACCTCTGTCTTGTTTACTGGTATATCCCTAGTGTACCTGGTACATGGACCCTAAAAAATGCCAATACTGAGAATGAGTCCCTGTTCTAGGAGCATGAGGGGTGATTTCTCCCCTTGGAAATTTTAAGTCCTTAAACTTCTGTTATTTCTGATCTTCATCTAAATCCGTCTTTCTAATGACTACTTTTTTTTTTTTAGTCTGTGACCTGCATCAAATTGGATTCCTTTGTCCTTACTTCCTCACAATTTCCCACATCTGTTAGTGTGGAGAAAGGATTAACACTGGGGAGTAGGGAAGAAAGATTAAGAAATAGAGGTGCTCTGGAAATGGGCTAACTTAAGTGGGTGGGGGTGCCTCTCCTTGCACTTTAAAAAAATCAAGAAACCCTTCAGGCTGAACTTTCCCATTTTGCGTCATGCCAGATGGAAGTCACAAAAAATAAGCATTTTTTTCCTCTACAAGCTAGTTTATTGTATTGTGAATATATATATGAAAATGCTGTTTTATTAACTTAATGTAAATTAGTCCTACTTCAGTTCTGCTATGAGAGAGGCAGGGTTGATAATGGAAAGAGAAAAGAATATGATATCAGAAGACAAAGGATTTTGTCTGGCTCTGCCATTTCCTAACTGCATGGCCTCTACCTTTTGGATACTTAGTTTTCTAATCTCTACAGTTGACCCTTGAACAATGTGGGTTTGAACTGCACAGGTCCACTTACCTGTGGATTTTCTTTTTTCCAATAAGTGCCACACAGTACTGCAAATGTATTTTCTTTTTCTTAAGATTTTATTCTTTTCTCTAGTTTACTTTATTGTAAGAATACAGCATAGGGTACATATAACTTAGAAAATATGTGTTAATCAGCCATTTAATCTTATTAGCAAGGCTTCCAGTCAGCAGTAGGCTATTAAGTTTTTGGGGAGTAAAAGTTCTATGCAGATTTTCAATCCTAGACCCCACATAGTTCAAGGGTCAACTATAATTATTTGCATAATTAGAGTTTGTCACAAAATTATGTGAAACAAATACGATGCCTGTGAAAATATTTTGTAGAGTATAAGGTTCTATGCAGATGAGTGAATTTTTTTTAAAATTATTCCTTAACCACTCTTTATGTTCTCTGATTGATCAGAGATAACTTAGTCTTCCATTAGGAAATTTTTTCCTGAAATCTGATGTCTCCATTTTATCTCCACAGTATTGAATATTGGTAAAAAACTCTATGAGGGTAAAACAAAAGAAGTTTATGAATTGCCAGATAGTCCAGGAAAAGTCCTCCTGCAGTCCAAGGACCAGATAACAGCAGGAAATGCAGCCAGAAAGAATCACCTGGAAGGAAAAGCTGCAATCTCAAATAAAATTACCAGTTGTATTTTTCAGTTGTTAAAGGAAGCAGGTAAGTGGCTTTCCCGATAGCCTCCCCTTTCACATTCTCTCTCTCACGAACATATTTGTCCTTTCGTGGGGAAATGGCATTATTTGGATTAACAACATGTGGACTACCAGTTATATTTTTCAGTGGTTATCGGAAAACAGGTAAGTGGCTCCCCTCACAATCTCCTCCCTTTTGAATATTGCCACACACACACACACCCCCCACCCCACACACACACAGGGCACACTCTGATCTCTTTCATGGGGAGATGACATTTGGATTAAGAACATGTTGTTTGGCAATGTCTCAAAAGGTAAGGTTACTGAAATCAAAAGCAGGAACTCTTAAATTTCACTACAGCACTTAATTTGGAATTAGTAAGTAGTATCATTTAGTTAAGGAATCTTAACAGTTTGCTACAGTCTGTCTGGCATGCATATCTCCTCTGTAACTTTTCTCTCCTAAGAAGATGTCCTAGGAGAGACTTACCTATGAAGGAGTCCTGTTCTAGTATTAGGCAGCTCTAATTGAAGAGTTGAAATTTGGTACCTGCAATTCTATACAGTTATTCATTTCTCTGTCCCTTGGAGATAAGACAGAATTTCAAATTCCTTTTCCACTTGAAAGCCCTGAAAAGTATTTGAAGATTGCCACCACACCTTCTTATTCTGCCTCAAGTGAGGGATTTGAACTAGATCAGAGATCTCCAGGGTTACTCCCTACTCTAAAACTGAAAGAAGACTATTTCCTGTAGAGACATCTATTCAAAGAGACTAGATCAGAACATTCTGTGGAGGGCATTTGGAGTAAAGAAAGGGGAATTAAGATAACGGGCTTTTCTGCAGGGATTCAGTCAATGCTGATTTGTCTGTAGTATATGAAATCTCAGCTAATAAAAGATTTGAGCTCTTTTCCTTCAGTGTAAGAGGCCTCATTGCCTTGGATCACTCAACCTTTGAGGCCTCTGGTTCCTTAAGCCTTGTTTTTTACTATCCCTGTTCTAATTTTATAATTTAATAATTTTGTCTCCTTTTACTACCTTTCACTACCCTGTTTTATTGCACTTGGCTTTATTGTGTTTCATGGATATTGCCTTTTTTGTTGTTGTTGTACAAATTGAAGGTTTGGCAGCTCTGCCCCTGCATTGAACAAGTCTGTTGGTGCCATTTTTCTAACAGCATTTGTTCTCTTCATGTTGCTGTCACATTTTGGCAAGTCTATCAATATTTCCAACTTTCTCATTATTTTATATGTTATGGTGAACTATGATCAGTGATCACAACTTGCTGAAGGCTCAGATGATAGTGTTTTTTAGCAATAAAGTATTTTTTAACTAAAGTTTTTTAGATATCATGCCATCACACACTTAATAGATCACAGTATTGTGTAAATATAACTTATATGTGCACTGGGAAACCAAAAAGTTCATTTGATTTGCTTTATTGTGACGTGGAACCGAACCTGCAATATCTTCAAGGTATGTCCATAATGTGTTAAATTAATCTTCTAAATCCAAAGGGGGATTTAATACCTTTGTTTCCATTCAGGATAGATGTACCTACCTTTCACAAAATAACAGGGTAATTCAAATTAAATCAATTCTGTCAGTACAGAATGGGTTCTTGAATAGTTTTGCCTCTTTCCTAGTTTTCTGTTGAACATTTTTAAGGTAGTGTGGGGAAAAAATGTTTGCCAGCCTAATTTGTCATCTATATCATAAATCCCTCTATACGTTGAAAGTGAGTATGTTGTGATAAATTTAAAGGACCACCCACAGTTCGTAAATCGTAAGTAATACGATTTTAGGATTTTTATTTCAAGGCTTCCTTGATAGGTGGTTTCTCAGTGACTGAGTTGATTGTTATAGAGAGCATCAAACTAATTTTAGGTTCCTATTGCAGTACAGATAAGTGATCCATTTTTAACTTGCCAAGTTATCTCATTCTCCCTGTACATACTAAAATTTTAAAAAATTGCTTAATACTATAAATTTTTAACAATAAAAAAGATTAGCTCCTGTGTACCCATAGTAGTTATACATAGCTACGGGGCCTTATTTATTTATTTATTTATTTATTTATTTATTTATATTTATTTATTTTTTTCAAATAATGGAAGATAAGTACAGGCCCAAGTTTTTATTTTCTTACTCAGTAAGGGACTATTCAGTGCATTTTGTGGGCTTAACAAAATGAATTAAAGTGACCCAAATTGTCTCTGTTTGTCTAGGACTTTCCCAGTTTGGACTGTGAAAGCCCTGAGTCTGAGAAAGCTGGGAAAGCTTGCAATCCTAAAAGAAGTACTCCAACAATTATCTTTAAACTACTGTATTGGCGGGGTGCCTGGGTGGCTCAGTCGTTAAGCGTCTGCCTTCTGCTCAGGTCATGATCTGAGGGTTCTAGGATCGAGCCCCGCATCGGGCTCCTGCTCAGCGGGAAGCCTGCTTCTCCCTCTCTCACTCCCCCTGCTTGTGTTCCCTCTCTCACTGTCTCTCTCTCTGTGTCAAATAAATAAATAAAATCTTTTTAAAAATAAATAAATAAACTACTATATTGGCACACTTAACTAAAACTTACTTGGTTCACATGAAATGTTGAAAGATGTTTTTCAGGTTTTATACACTGAAATTAAGGAAAACTTAAGTTTTAAAAAATTCTTAGATTTGTTTTAGAGGACAGATCAGGAGTTCTGTTGCCTTATCTAATTTTTACTTGCTGATAGTTAAATGCTATGTCTAGTTGACCACCAGTGATCTATTTAAAATTGCTTTCTTTATAACCAAGGCTATGTTCCTAATTAAGGTATTTCTAGAAGTTAGAATGGGAAGAGCACCAAATGAGATTTTGTAAATCAGGATTCTGATTTTCTCACTGTCAATCACAAGCAAACTATAAAATACTATACAAATAATAGGTATAGGTAATACTGTTTTTCCATGGAAATATTATACATGCTACACCTGAGTTATGAAATGTGTGGATTTGGTCTCAATACTTAACCTTTTAAGTCTCAGTTCTCTCACAGAAACCTACCGTAATTACATTTAGGTGTTAATAGTGATAATGGGTATAAGTCCTGCAGTTGTTAAACCACAGATGAGGAGCTGGGCAGCCTTGATACATGGGTGGCCCAAGGGATATGTGGGCTGATTAGCTGTCAGACACTGCCATTGTAATTCAGAGTATGAAGTGACATTTCCTTAGTAATCTTCATAGGAGTCTTAAATTCTGTAAATAGTGAGACATGGGGAGAGTTCTTTTGCTCATCCCCCCAGTCATGAAATTTGCTAAGATGATTAGCATGTATATTAGAAGCAATCATTATATCATCTAAACTGAATCTTTTTTTTTTTTTTGAAGCAATTCTTTTTTCCTGTACTAGATCATTACCATAAATTGATTCTGTACTTTTGGTTCTCTTAGATGTGAGGAGGAATTTTCCTCTGAGTAAAAGTAACTATTGTTTATATTTAAACAATAGATTGGGATACCAGTCTTTCAAGCTTGGTAGACAAATGAGCACATATATCTAATAATTAACAGATCTTAAAAGGAACTCTTAAAGCCAAGCATGTAGTTACCACCCGTAGTTAAGGATTGATTTAAATGATTTGCCTATCCATGAGCATGAGCCCAGTCATTCTTTAAGGGTTAAAATGACCATTTACTTAAACTCTTACTCTTTCCCAGAGTTCCTGTTCATGTAGCATGTCACAATTTCCTGTTTCAATTGAATCTTACTGGTCAAACCCAGAGGGAGTACAGAGAAAACAGTGCAGGTTTGCAACTGGTCCAAGCACCGTTACTGATTAGCAACATGTCCCAGCTTGTCAAATTACTTACCTTCTTTGAGCCACTGTTTCTTTCACTGTAAAAGGTGATACCTACCTGAAAAATTTTATATGTGGTTAAATGAGATATAAAACACTTAGAACAGTGCAGGTCTTACATAAATGTAAATTCCCTTCATGTACGGTAATATATACGTATGTTATTATATGGCAGCACAAAGTAATCCTGTAGCATTACCATGATTAAAATGTCTCCTGGAAACCTTTATGTGTTAACATAATAACGCTCATCTTCAAGCTGCAGTGTTAATACCTAGAATATCTAGGAGTAGAATTGCTGGATCATATGGTTCATGATATATTATAACTATTATTAGGTTATTTTCCAACATCCCCAAATAAAATAGCTCCCATCACAAGCTAGCTTTTTTATCTTAGTTTTCCAGTAACAGTTTGAGTAAAATAGAAGGGAAGGGAAGAACAAATGTTTTCTTTGCTCTTGGCCAAATTGGCCACTATGTTCTTGCTGCTACCTGTTGGATACTTTTTTTCAGGCATTATTTTCTTCAAATATTAAGAGAAAAGAGCAACCCAAAATGTAGGGCTGTACTTGATTGTGATAAGTAGATATTTTATAAGGCCCATTTAATACTGGACTGTCAAATGTGAGAATTGTATAACCAAATCTAAAGATAATTTAGTACCACTTAGATGAGTTATATGCTTTATGCAAGGTAGGTAAGCAGTGGCAGGGGAATTTCTCAAAAGTCTTTTTTGAATGTATGAATGAATGGTAAAGACAATGGGACCCAGACTTTCTGATCCACTATATACTTTCCCATGCAACATTAAAATGAAATACTCCTAAATATTTTGATAAGCATTAAGAAAGCCATACTAGGGCACCTGGGTGGCTCAGTTGTTAAGCATCTGCCTTCAGCTCAGGTCATGGTCCCAGGGTCCTGGGATCGAGCCCCGCATCAGGCTCCCTGCTCTGCGGGAAGCCTGCTTCTCCCTCTCCCACTCCCCCTGCTTGTGTTCCCTCTCTCGCTGTGTCTCTCTCTGTCAAATAAATAAAATATTAAAAAAAAAAAAGAAAGCCATACTAATAATTTTGCTTTCCTACTTACACTTTTTCAAAAAAGTTAATATATTTTTGGTAGTATCATTTAGGGATAATACATTTGGCTAGATAGGGTTTTTGTTTCATTTTGTTTTTCATAAACAGCAATTTTATTATGCCTCAGATCTAACTTTTTTAATACAATTTTAATGCTTTTTAACACCTTTTTATCAATATGTAGGTATCAAAACTGCTTTCGCCAGAAAATGTGGGGAGACAGCTTTCATTGCACCTAAGTGTGAAATGATTCCAATTGAATGGGTTTGTAGAAGAATAGCAACTGGTTCTTTTCTCAAAAGGAATCCTGGTGTCAAGGAGGGATATAAGTTTTACCCACCTAAAGTGGAGCTGTTTTTTAAGGTAATTATTCTATGCTTCTGTGTCTTACTATAGTATAGCAACAAACATAATTTCAAAGTCAAAAGATTTAAATGTTATTAAAGCTAAATAAAATCTTTAAAAAAATAAATTTAAAAAATAAGATTATCAGTTATTAGGAAGAAAAGTAACAATTCAGAAACTAAATTTTTAAAGAGTTTGAAGTAAGGTGAATACAAGGGATCTTTTTATATTCAGATACAGAAAAACTATTACCAATATCTCTTATAAGCAAAAACATAAAAAAGATGTAGGAATCAGTGGTTATAAATTTGTATTGGTTTTCTTTATTGAAACTGCTTTTTGGGATGCCTAGATGGCTCAGTCATTTAAGCATCTGCCTAGGACTCAGGTCATGATACCGGGTGCTGGGATTGAGTCCTGCATCGGGCTCCTTGCTCAGCAGAGAACCTGCTTCTCCCTCTACCTGCTGCGCCCCCTGCTTGTTGCTCTGTTGCACAAATAAATAAACAAAATCTTAAAAAAAAAAAATTGCTTTTCTCTTTCCCTCTTTGTTTAGCTGTTAAGCATAGTTCTAACATCAAGAGTAATGTCTGTGTAGCATTTTTATTGTTCCCTTTTTTTTTTTAAGATTTTATTTATTTATTGAGAGGGAAAGAGGGAGATGGCGAGTAAGCATGCAGTGAGAGGAACAAAGCTGGGGGGGGGAAGAATCCTAAGCAAACTACACACTGAGCAGGGAGCCTGACAGGGGGTTCCATCACACAACCCTGAGATCATGACCTGAGCCGTAACCAAGAATCTGGACGCTCAACCAACCAAGCCACCCAGGCGCACCTTGTGTAGCTTTTTTTTTTTTTTTTTAATTTAAAGATTTTATTTATTTGACAGAGCGCACAGGCAGGGGGAGCAGCAGGCAGAGGGAGAGAGAGAAGCAGGCTCCCCGCTGAGCAGGGAGCCCTACGCAGGGTTTAGTCCTGTGAACCTGGGACCATGACCTGAGCTGAAGGCAGGTGGTCAGCCGACTGAGCCACCCAGACGTATCTTGTGTAGCATTTTTAAACAGTGAACTAAAATTGTCTCTCAGCCTTTTGGCCTAGTTCAAGTATAATCAGTGAACTGCACAGTTTAAAATGTTTATCTTATGGTTATAATACAAATCCAGAATTCATAAAAGAAAAATTTCATGTGAAATTGGGACACTACATAAAATGAATAAAATGAAAGTATTTTTTTCACTAATGCCTTTATATAAAGTCTCTTGAATTATTAAATAATATCCCTAAAGACTTATAGTCTTATATAAATTTTTATTAAAAATGAGGTCAAGAGCAGTGCCTGGCTGGCTCAGTCGGCAGAGCATGCAACTCTTGATCTCAGGATTGAGAGTTTGAGCCCCACGTTGGGTGTAGAGATTATTTAAAATCTTAAAAAAAAAAAAAAAGGGTGGGGGCGCCTGGGTGGCTCAGTCATTAAGCGTCTGCCTTCGTCTCAGGTCATGATCCCAGGGTCCTGGGATCGAGCCCCACATCGGGCTCTCTGCTCAGTGGGAAGCCTGATTGGCCCTCTCCCACTCCCCCTGCTTCTGTTCCCTCTCTCGCTGTGTCTCTCTGTCAAATAAATAAAATATTTTTTAAAAAAAGGGGGTGTGCCTGGGTGGCTCAGTTGGTTAAGCATCTCCCTTTGGCCCAGGTCATGATCCCGGGGTCCTGGGATCAAGCCCCATATCAGGCTCTCTGCTCAACGGGGAGCCTGCTTCTCCTCTCCCTCTGCCTGCCCCTCTGTCTGCCACTCTGCCTACTTGTGCTCTCTATCAAATAAATAAAATCTTAAAAAAAAAAAAGAGGTCAGGAGATTATGAAAACTGCATCCTAGAGAGATTTGGTGGACTAAAGTGTGTTTTGGCCTTCTTACTATCTCTATTGACTCAGATGAAGAAAAAATAATCACAAACTTTCATTTAAATTAGTTTATAGAGAGAGCAAATTCTTTCAAATTACTTTATCACCTGGAGTAAGTTACTCACTGAATATCTTAAATTTTAAAGTAGTTATTAAAACTAGATAAATTAAAAATAATTGTGAGTTAAAGGGCATTTCAATGAAAAATTAAGTCTTTAGAGAAAATAAATATTTCTGAGGAATTCATGGTCAAGGAAAAAAGGACTTCAGTTTATCTCAAAAATTCAAAATTTTTATTTTTAAATTAATTGTACTCCTATACTTTATTTTCAGGACGATGCCAATAACGATCCACAGTGGTCTGAGGAACAGCTAATTGCCGCAAAATTTTGCTTTGCTGGACTTGTTATAGGCCAGACTGAAGTGGATATCATGAGTCATGCTACACAGGCTATTTTTGAAATACTGGAGAAATCCTGGTTGCCCCAGAACTGTACGCTGGTTGATATGAAGGTACAAATAAAATGGAGATTTGATAATAAAGATTGTAACTGAGAAATGTCTTTAGTTGTAGAGTTTTGAAAACTTTTCTTTGGTGATATGCTATTTCTAGATTGAATTTGGTGTTGATGTAACCACCAAAGAAATTGTTCTTGCTGATGTTATTGATAATGATTCCTGGAGACTCTGGCCATCAGGAGATCGAAGCCAACAGAAAGATAAACAGGTAATGCCTCAGGATTTTTTTTTATCCTTTTCAAGATCAGGCGAGATAGAGGTGAGTAGGAAGATGGGAGGAAAAGAAAAGGCAACTATTGTTCTATATGATAAGAACCAGAGTTGATTGCTGTTTACTTTTAAAGATAAATATCTCTTACATTTCGTATATCCTGAAGAAAAATAATAGGAACAGTACCTTGCATTTACAAAATAGATTATTCATTTATTATGACTATCACACAGAGCAAGGGTTATCCTTGTTTGGCCAATTGAAAACTGCTGAGAGGATGATAGATATCTTCATAATTATAAGAATAAGGGCAGATCTGGAACTCTATCCCAAGTGTTCTGGATCTTACCAGGTTCCATTTCTGCTCTGTCCTGTAAAAACAAAATTAGGGCAGATGCTCTCTACTTAATACATAAGAATTGTCAGGGCAGTTAATTGTAGTTGCTAGTGTAGAAAGCACTTAAGCTTAAATGAAAATACAAGTGTACTTCACTATCTGAACTTCCTCTAGTCTAATTCAGGAAATGAATTTATAGGTTCGGATACATTTTCAGATATATTCCTTGCTATGCAAGCTTTTCATAGTCTACCCAAAACTCAGAAATTAAATAATTTCAGTTAGCAAGAGTATTACTAATAGAATATCTGTATTCTAAACTTTCTATCTTATTTTCTAGTCTTATCGTGACCTCAAGGAAGTAACTCCCGAAGGGCTCCAGATGGTGAAGAAAAATTTTGAGTGGGTTGCAGAAAGAGTGGAGGTAAAACTTTTGTAGTAAACCCATGCTGTTCTGTGTTTTTCTACAAGAAAATCTTGCCTCAAAAAGGACAAAACGCCCCTTCAATAGGGCGTCTGGATGGCTCAGTCAGTTGAGCATCCGGCTCTTGATTTTAGCTTGAGTCAGGATCTCAATATCTCAGGATCATGGAGTTGAACCCCGCATCGGGCTCTCCGTTCACTGCAGAGTCTGCTTGGGATTCTTTCTCCCTCCCTATGCCCCTCCCCCTGCTTGCATGCTCTTTCTCTAAATAAATAAATAAATAAATAAAACAATAAAACCATTTTTTAAAAAAAAGGAAAATAAAAGTGAGAAGGTGCAGTTATTTCTCTTCTCCAGTTTTTTTTTAATAATTATTTTAGGAAGAGTGTGTGTGTGTGCGCGCGTGCGCGCGTGTGCGCAAGTGGGGGGGGTGGCAGAGGGAGAGAGATAATCCTGAAGAAGACTCTCCACTGACCGCAGGGTCTGACACGGGGCTCAGTCTCAGGACCCCAAGATCATGACCTGAGCTAAAATGAGGAGTCATCCACTCAACCAGCGAAGCCACCCAGTGGTTTAAAAAAAAAAAAGGAACACCCTTAAGAAATGTACCACCTGAGCTATCCTCAGTGACATACTGAAACCCCCTCTTGTTAAACTGGCCAGTACACTCCCAAATTCTGTTGGGGAAACCTAGAGTCCTTGTCTCCTCCCTGCCCCTTACATTTCCTACCCATCCCTCCACTGCTACTCAGAGTTGCATTAGCATAGGTTCCATAAGTAGAGTTCAGAATTAGAACTCTATGTGACATTAAAATGTCACTTTAAGATTTATGGTATTATTGGGGTGCCTGGGTGGTTCAGTCACGACATTAAGCATCCAGCTCTTGATTTTGGCTCAGGTCATGATCTCAGGGTCCTGGGATCAAGCCCTGCATCAGGCTGTGCACTCAGTGGGGAGTATGCTTGAGATTCTCTCTCCCTCTCCCTCTCTCAAATCTTTTAGATTTATGGTATTATCATTACTATAATTCTGTGGAAATTGAATGGGATTTTGGTTATTCAAGGGTCATAGCCAGTTTTCAGAACATCATTTCCTTGGGAACATGCATTTTGAATTCTAAGTGACTTAAGGTTTATAATATGATCTCTTTATTTTGGCTGATTATGCCTTAAAACCTCCATTAAACACAATGGACTAAAATCTTAGGATGAAATATTTTATATTACAGCTTCCTGAATATTAATTAGAAGGGTTGAGTATTTATTTTTGCTTTTTATTATAGTAAATATAATTTCTCTGATTAAAAATCTTACTCTTTAGGTCTTAATTATGAAGACCACTTTTCTTTATATACAGAGGTTATTTTGAAAAATAAATTACATTTTGTCCTGTTTGTCTCTGTCTTGAGTTTGGTCTATTAAGAAAGAAAATATTCTGTCCAGTTGTACTTTTACTCTGCTACAGTTTTGTAAACTGATTATTCTTATGATACTCAATTCTGTATTTATCCAGTTTTTGCCATTTTCTTTTCATATCCATGTTTCTCTTTTCCAGTTGCTTCTGAAATCAGAAAGTCAGTGCAGAGTTGTAGTATTGATGGGCTCAACTTCTGATCTCAGTCACTGTGAAAAAATCAAGAAGGCTTGTGGAAATTTTGGCATTCCATGTGAACTTCGGGTAACATCTGCCCATAAAGGACCAGATGAAACTCTGAGGATTAAAGCAGAGTATGAAGGTAAATGTCACATAACTAGAGCATTTCAGGAAATTCTCCTGATTTTGCCAAAAAATTTTATGTTTGGACTAATAATGCTGAAAAAGAATTTGCCACATTTCCAAGGGGGAAAAATGTGATAATCTAGGCTTTCATTATACTCCCAAAGAGTATGAGATGCTCTAGGCACTTATAAAAGAATGGCTCGGGGGAAAAAGAATTGAAAATGCAACATGAGTACACTTGAAAATAATGCAACATTGTGTGTCAACAGCATTCAAGTTTTTTTAAAAATGTTAAAAATAAATAAGAGTAAAGGCCCCCACCTCCCAAAAGAAAGTGAAACATGGAAGGAAAATAAAGACTAGAATGAGTTTTTACCTAATAAGAAGCCCCTGAAGTATTGTTTCTAATATGCTCCAACAGAAGATAGGCCCCACATAATTTTGGGAGGCCTGAGGTTGAAGCAGCAGATTCTTTGAGTATTGTTAGTGGTCAGCCTTTCCTAGGAGGTATTTGAATGTGAAATTAAGGAATAATTTTAGAATTTAGTATATAAAAGAAATGTCTTGATGGGATAGTATTGATCTAAAATAATGGAGTCCTGGAGACATAACCAAATGTTTCTCAACTGGGAAAAATGTTGATCTGAGTTTTCTTCCTAAAGGTAGTTGTTACAGGAGCAGAGTTACTAAGGTTTGGGCCGGGGATAGGAGGAGAGGGCAAGGAACTGGAATAAGTTCCTAGACCTCTTTGTTAAACTTATGAAAGCCTGAACTCTTTCTCCAGAAAAATGCAAATACATAAACTTTTGGATTCCAGGTTAGGAATCTCTGTGGTAAGAAACAAAGGAATAATTTAAAAATTTATCAAAGAATGAAATACTTAAGAGATATGTTGGAAAATATATTGAAGGGTAATAAATATTTGGGTACTATATTGTTGAATTTGCCTTCCTTCATTCATACTGTGCCCCTGAACCTCTAGTCTCCATTAACAAGGTCTCCCTATACTGTTGTTTGAAGGAACCGAGGACAGACACTGGTTCTGGTGGTGTCATTCTTTGTTTCGGTGAGCCTAAGCAGCCATAGTAGAAGGGCCTTTGAGCCATTCCCTCACTAATACTCTGGTACCTTTTTATACTACCGATCTCAAAGATGGCCAAACTTATTCTCGCTACTTTGTTACTTGAGATATAGTAGGTGGTGAAGTGCGGTATATACTGAATATATATGTAATAATAGTGTCTTATTTCTGCTTTTTCTGGAGACTGCAAATAAAGGAACTGAAGGAGTTAAGACACATAGGCATTTTGTTTTAACCTATCTTAAAATCTCTTTTCCAATTCAATTACAAACGTGTAATTTCCCTAGGGGATGGCATTCCTACTGTTTTTGTGGCAGTGGCAGGCAGAAGCAATGGTTTAGGACCAGTGATGTCTGGTAACACTGCATACCCAGTTATCAGCTGCCCTCCACTCACTCCAGACTGGGGAGCTCAGGATGTGTGGTCTTCTCTTCGACTACCCAGTGGTAAGATACATGAATTTTAAAAAGTTGTTTATTAAAGGGGCACATGGGTGTCTCAGTCAGTTAAACATCTCACTCTTGATTTTGGCTCAAGTGATATTCTCAGGGTTGTGAGATCAAGCTCCATGTTGGGCTCCATGAAGAGAGCCTGGTTGAGATTCTCTCTCTCTCCCTCTCCTTTTGCCCCTCCCCCCTGCTCAGGCTGGCTTTCTCAAAAAAAAAAAATATGTTTATTGAAAAATTTCAAACATGCACAGTAGTAGAGAGAATAACATGAAATCTCATGTACCCATTATTCAACTTTAAGATATAATATCTTATTACATCTGTAGCCCTTTCTGCTTGATTATTTTCAAGCAAACATAGCATTTTATACTTAAATATGCTTCTCTAAACAATAAGAACTCTAGTTTTTATTATTTTATTCTATTTTTTAAGATTTTATTTGTCAAGAGAGAGCGAGCATAAGCAGGGGGAACGGCAGGCAGAGCAGGTAAGAGGGAGAAGCAGGCTCCCCGCTGAGCCGGGAGCCTGATGTGGGGTTTAATCCCAGGACCCCGGGATCATGACCTGAGCCGAAGGCAGATGCTTAACCGACTGAGCCACACAGGTGCCACCATGATTGTGATTTAAAAACTAGAGTTCTGGCATGGCTGGGTGGCTCAGTTGGTTAAGCATCTGCCTTGGGCTCAGGTCATGATCCTGGGGTCCTGGGATCAAGTCCCACATCAGGCTCCCTGCTCAGCGGGGAGCCTGCTTCTCCCTTTCCCTCTGCTGTTCCCCCCACTGAGTTCCCCCCCCCGTCACTCATGCTTTCAAATAAATAAATAAAATCGTTTTTTAAAAAAATCATAGGATACCATAATCACACTTAAGAAAAATTAATGGGTAATTTGTTAAAATCATCTAATTTTCAGTTAGTGTTCAAGCTTTTCTGATCATCTCATTTGTTTTTACAGTTGGTTTGCTCAAATCAAGATCTAACATAGTCCTTATATTGCATTTAATTGCTGTCTCTCCTAAGTCTCCTTTAATCCTTCTTTTTTCACTTTCATTTATCCTATAGAATTGTCCATATTTTGGATTTGGCTGATTATATTTCTGGATGATGTTTAACATGCTCTTCCTATATTTTTTATAAACTGGTGGTGAGATCTGTAGCTAGATCAAATCCAGATTTGGGTTTCCCGCCCCCCAAGAATACATCATTCATGGTTTTGAAGTTTTTTTAAAAAATTTTTTTTATTTCTTTATTAACATATAATGTATTATTTGGTTCAGGGGTACAGGTCTGTGATTCATCAGTCTTACACAATTCACAGCACTCACCATAGTACATACCCTCCCAAATGTCCATCACCCAGCCACCCCATCCCTCCCACCACCCTCCACTCCAGCAACCCTCCGTTTGTTTCCTATGATTAAGAGTCTCTTATGGTTTGTCTCCCCCTCTGGTTTTGTCTTGTTTCATTTTTCCCTCCGTTCCCCTCTGATCCTCTGTCTTGCTTCTCAAATTCCTCCTATCAGTGAGATCATATGATACTTGTCTTTCCCTGATTGACTTATTTTGCTTAGCATAATACCCTCTAGTTCCAGCCACATCATTGCAAATGGCAAGATTTCATTTTTTCCGATGGCTGCATAATATTCCATTATGTGTGTGTGTGTGTGTGTGTGTATACACACACCACATCTTTATCCATTCCTCTGTTGATGGACATCTAGGCTCTTTCCATAGTTTGGCTATTGTGGATATTGCTGCTATAAACATTGGGGTGCAGGTGCCCATTCAGATCACTACATTTCTATCTTTGGGGTAAATACCCAATAGTGCAGTTGCTGGGTCATAGGGTAGCTCTATTTTAAACTTTTTGAGGAACCTGCATACTGTTTTCCAGAGTGGCTGCACCAGCTTGAATTCCCACCAACAGTGTAGGAGGGTTCCCCTTTCTCTGCATCCTCACCAACATCTGTCGTTTCCTGACTTGTTAATTTTAGCCATTCTGACTGGTGTGAGGTGTGTATCTCATTGAGGTTTTGATTTGTATTTCCCTGATACTGAATGATGTTGAGCACTTTTTCATGTGTCTGTTGGCCATTTGGATGTCTTCTTTGCAGAAATGTCTGTTCATCTGCCCATTTCTTGATTTGATTTTTTGTTATTTGGTTGTTGAGTTTGATAAGTTCTTTATAGATTTTGGATACTAGCCCTTTATCTGATACGTCATTTGCAAATATCTTCTCCCATTCTGTCGGTTGTCTTTTGGTTTTGTTGACTGTTTCCTTTGCTGTGCAAAAGCTTTTTATCTTGATGAAGTCCCAAAAGTTCATTTTTGCCCTTGCTTCCCTTGCCTTTGGCGATGTTTCTAGGAAGAAGTTGCTGCGGCTGAGGTGGAAGAGGTTGCTGCCTGTGTTCTCCTTTAGGATTTTGGTGGATTCCTGTCTCACACTGAGGTCTTTCATCCAATATTGTGTGTGGTATAAGGAAATGGTCCAGTTTCATTCTTCTGCTGTCCAATTTTCCCAACAGCATTTGTTGAAGAGACTGTCTTTTTTCCATTGGACATTCTTTCCTGCTTTGTTGAAGATTAGTTGACCATAGAGTTGGAGGGTCCATTTCTGGGCTCTCTATTCTGTTCCATTGATCTATGTGTCTGTTTTTGTGCCAGTACCAGACTGTCATGATGATTACGGCTTTGTAATAGAGCTTCAAGTCCAGAACTCTGATGCCACCGGCTTTGCTTTTCTTTTCCAACATTCCTTTGGTTATTCGGGGTCTTTTCTGGTTCCATACAAATTTTAGGGTTATTCCATTTATTTGAAAAAAGTTGATGGTATTTTGATAGGGATTGCATTAAATGTGTAGATTGCTCTAGGTAGCGTAGACATTTTCACAATATTTGTTCTTCTAATCCAAGAGCATGGAACGTTTTTCCATTTCTTTGTGTCTTCCTCAATTTCTTTCATGAGTATTCTATAGTTTTGTGAGTACAGATCCTTTGGCTTTTTGGTTAGATTTATTCCTAGGTATCTTACGGTTTTGGGTGCAATTGTAAATGGGATCAACTCTTTAATTTCTCTTTCTTCTATCTTGTTGTTGGTATATAGAAATGCCACTGATTTCTGTGCATTGATTTTATATCCTGCCACTTTAATGAATTCCTATATGAGTTCTAGAAGTTTTGGGAAGAAGTCTTTTGGGTTTTCCCCATAAAGTATCATATCATCTGCAAAGAGTGAGTTTGACTTCTTCTTTGCCGATTCGAATGCCTTTTATTTCTTTTTGTTGTCTGATTGCTGTGGCTCGGACTTCTAGTACTATGTTGAATAGCAGTGGTGATAGTGGACATCCCTGCCGTGTTCCTGACCTTAGGGGAAAAGCTCTCAGTTTTTCCCCATTGAGGATGATATTTGCTGTAGGTTTTTCATAGATGGCTTTTATGATATTGAGGTTTGTACCCTCTGTGCCTACAGTGTGAAGAGTTTAAATCAAGAGAGGATGCTGTACTTTGTCAAATGCTTTTTCTGCATCTATTGAGAGGATCATATGGTTCTTGTTCTTTCTTTAATTAATGTATTGTATCACATTGATTGATTTGCGGATGTTGAACCAAACTTGCAGCCCAGGAATAAACCCCACTTGATCATGGTGAATAATCCTTTTAATGTACTGTTGGATCCTATTGGCTAGTATTTTGGTGAGAATTTTTGCATCCATGTTCATCAGGGATATTGGTCTGTAGTTCTCCTTTTTGATGGGGTCTTAGTCTGGTTTTAGGATCAAGGTAATGCTGGCCTCATAAAATGAGTTTGGAAGTTTTCCTTCCATTTCTATTTTTTGGAACAGTTTCAGAAGAATAGGTATTAATTCTTCTTTAAATGTTTGGTAGAATTCCCTTTGGAAGCCATCTGGGCCCTGGGCTCTTGTTTTTTAGGAGATTTTTGATTACTGCTTCCATTTCCTTAGTGGTTATGGGTCTGTTCGGGTTTTCTATTTCTTCCTGGTTCAGTTTTGGTAGTTTATACATCTCTAGGAACGCATGCATTTCTTCCAGATTATCTAATTTGCTAGCAGATAGTTTCTCATAATATGTTCTTGTAATTGTTCGTATTTTTTTGGTGTTGGTTGTGATCTCTTCTCTTTCATTCATGATTTTATTTATTTGGGTCCTTTCTCTTTTCTTTGTGATAAGTCTGGCCAGGGTTTTATCAGTCTTATGAATTCTTTCAAAGAACCAGCTCCTAGTTTCGTTGATCTGTTCTACTGTTCTTTTGGTTTCTATTTCATTGATTTCTGCTCTGATCTTTATTTTTTCTCTTCTCCTGCTGGGTTTAGGTTTCATTTGCTGTTCTTTCTCCAGCTCCTTTAGGTGTAGGGTTAGGTTGTGTACTTGAGACCTTTCTTGTTTCTTGAGAAAGGCTTGTATTGCTATATACTTTCCTCTTAGGACCACCTTTGCAGCATCCCAAAGATTTTGAACAGTTGTGTTTTCATTTTCATTTGTTTCCATGAATTTTTTAAATTCTTCTTTAATTTCCTGGTTGACCCATTCATTCTTTAATAGCTTGCTACTTAGCCTCTATGTATTTGAGTTCTTTCCGACTTTACTCTTGTGATTGAATTCTAGTTTCAAAGCATTGAGGTCTGAAAATATGCAGCGAATGATCCCAGTCTTTTGGTACCGGTTGAGACCTGATTTATGATTCAGTATGTAATCTATTCTGGGATATGCTCCTTGTGCACTCAAGAAGAATGTGTATTCTGTTGCTTTAGGATGGAATGTTCTCAATATATCTGTGAAGTCCATCTGGTCCAGTGTGTCATTCAAAGCCCTTGTTTCCTTGTTGATCTTCTGCTTAGTTGATGTGTCCATTGCAGTGAATGGGGTGTTAAAGTCTCCTACTATTAGTGTATTATTGTCGATGTGTTTCTTTGATTTAGTTATTAATTGGCTTATATAATTGGCTGCTCCCATGTTAGGGGCATAGATATTTAATATTGT